AAAAAAAAAAAAAAAAAGAATAACTATCTTTCCCTACAAAGTTCAGTATAAGAACAAACAGATTTCATGATGAGCCAAGAGAGCATTTGAGTTCAGATCACACTGCCAAGATCTTGAGAAAGGGCCATCCAGGAACAAACTACTAACTGGATGTGAGTCACTCAGGCAGACTTAGGGAGACGCACCTATTGGTTTTGAAGAGTGATTGTCACTTTCTCAGAAATATGCAAGAATAGGGTGCTCTAAGCAGATTATTGGGTGAAAAACTTCATGACATTTAAAAGCCATGATTTTTGTTTTCAGGAAAAATGAAAGATATATGATCAGAACTTAGCTTGTGTGCAGAGTTGGTGTGGGAAAAAGACGAGATTGGAAGTACAGGTAGCAACCGAGTCAGTGAATGTCTTCTCTTGCTAAAGAGTGACAGCTTGATTTCCAAGGTGCTCTTAAATGGGTTTAAGGCCTGGAGGGGCACGGTTGGGTGAATGGTTTAGAAATATGAGTCTGAAGGTAGGATGAACAAGGTGACAGAAAGTGAAGCGTGTGCTGGCTGCTGGAAACACGATGGTAAGATGTCGGAGGACAGAGAGGAGGGGTTTGAATGTGTCATGGAGTCATGATGAGGAAGGAATGAGGAGAAGGTTCAGAAGCAGTAGAGCTGACAAAACTTCAGAAAATAACAGGTGCTGGGGATCCCGGAGACAGCAACGCGTGCAGGAGTGGGTCTCAGAGCGGGTCCCCGAGACGGCAACGCGTGCAGGAGTGGGTCTCAGAGCAGGTCCCCGAGACGGCAACGCGTGCAGGAGTGGGTCTCAGAGCGGGTCCCGGAGAAGGCAACACGTGCAGTAGTGGGTCTCAGAGCGGGTCCCCGAGACGGCAACACATGCAATAGTGGGTCTCAGAGCGGGTCCCGGAGAAGGCAACACGTGCAATAGTGGGTCTCGGAGCGGGTCCCGGAGAAGGCAACACGTGCGATAGTGGGTCTCGGAGCGTGTCCCGGAGAAGGCATCACGTGCGATAGTGGGTCTCAGAGCGGGTCCCGGAGACGGCAACGCGTGCAGTAGTGGGTCTCCGAGCGGGTCCCGGAGAAGACAACGCCTGCAGTAGTGGGTCTC